GGGAAAACCCCGGGGGGGGGGGGGGGGGGGGGGGTACTCATAGTCGTGCATGCCGTAGTCGTTAGACCATTGACCTCGCATCCCTAAAAAGCCGGGACGGAGCACGCCGGGTTCTCACCGGACCAGGCTGTCACATCACCACGCGCGAAGCGCCGTGAGGTATTCGGCGAGTCGCATGAAGGGTGCGCTGCATCCTGCTAAGGGTGTTCGGCATCTTGTGCTTACGTCCTTGCGTACGGGTGACAGCTGCGTGTGACTTAATTTATTTTCTGGTGCTTTCACTTCCAGAGACAGTGTAAGCACTGTGTAACTGCCTCGAGGATGCTTGACCATTTTAACACAACCCGGTGCGATCATCCCCCTTGCGCGGAGTGAGGTTTCTCGACCCCGCACAACACGATCTACTCGACCACCATTACGGTTACCGCCAAAAAAAAAACAGAGGTACAAAAAAAAAGAACGGTAACCTGGTTGCCGGGTTCACGAAGTGACTTGGCTTGTTTTACAACGTCGTTGCCAAGCGACGAAAACCCAATCCCGACAAACACCGACGGGGGGGCTTGTTTTACAACGTCGTTGCCAAGCGACGAAAACCCAACCCCGATGGCAAACACCGAGGGGGGGGCTTGTTTTACAACGTCGTTGCCAAGCGACGAAAACCCAACCCCGATGGCAAACACCGGGGGGGGGATATCCGACAGCGTTGGCAACGCGCATGTACAGAGTTAGGCATAGAGTCGTGAAAATTGGCAAGAAAGCCATTCTCCGCCGACACCTGTAGCCAGCGTGTTCGACGAGGCTGGCCTAGGTGCACTCGGGTCGTGGTCGTGGCATCGCTGTCGTTTTGCGACCTCGTTCCCGATCATCATCACCCCGAACTTCCCCCTCTCGAGACCTACAGTGCGCGCTTGAGACCGACAGCCTTCAACCATTACCGAGTCGCGCGCCCAAGCTATTTATCTCACACGCGAGGAGCAAGGGGAAGCACGCATGTTTTTAGAAAATACACATAATCTCACAGAAAGACAACCCGTTCGAGGTACAAACCACAGTCGAAAGGGATGCGCTCAAGTCTTTTCATTGAGTGGAGGGAAACCGGCTGGAAATGTTGTCATGTGTCCATCATCAATATACGTTTTTTTTTTCTTTGTCCATTGAATCCGTGCAACTCTCCCCCCTCCCCCCCCCCTTCTATCCCACGGCGCGCGGTTTCTCGCTCCCAGGCGGGAAGCCGACCCGCGTGGGGAGCGACCTCCTGTTCAGCTACACCCCGTCTCCCGAGCCGGCCTTCCGTGGAAGGAGGAAGTGCACCGCTTCCCGCCGCCGAGACACCCCCGAGGGGGGGGGGGGGGGCGAAAGGGACCCCCACAACGGGGGGGTCCCGTCCTCCCCGTCGGCCTGTTCGTCCCCCCCTTCCCCTTCCCCTTCCCCCAAGCGGACAAAGAGCAAAAATCCACGTGGCCCCAGCGTCAGCAGCAGCGGGACCGGCGGCAGCGGCGGCGGGGGGGGCGGTGCGACCAGCAGCGGCTCGTCATCCCCCAGACGCTCCCTCCGCCGCCGTGGCGTGAAGAAGGAGAGCGGCGGCGATGGCGCCGCCGCCGCTGACCCCCCCGCTGCTGCCGGTGCTAGTACCGGTGCTGAGGACGACAACGACGACGACGGCAACGCCGCCATGACGAAGGCCGCCGCTCGGCCGGGGGACCGCGCGAGGGTGCTCTACGACAACACGGACTGGTACATGGCCACCGTCGTGGGCGTCCACCGGGGCTCCTCCGTCACGGTCCGCTTCGACGACGGCAGCGAGGCGAGGTTAGCGCTAAGCCCGGGCGACGCCGAGATCTGCGCGGACGACGCGCTGGCGCCGGCAGCGAGCGAGCCGCCTGCGCCTGCCTCTTCGCGCTCTCGCGGGGGCGGCGGGGGCGGCGGCGGGGCAAGGAGGAGGCCAGGGAGAGGGGTCGTGGCCAAGGGGGTGCGGGCGTTGGGGGCCGGTGGTCGGATCCTTGGGGAGGGGGAGGGCAAAGCGCTGACGGAGGAGCGGGCGAAGGCCCTGCTCGACACGGCGCCCGAGAAGCTGGTGGGCCTGGTGTACCAGGAGCACCACCGGGGGTACGGCGGCTGGTGGGAGACCGTCGTGACGGAGGTGTCCGAGGAGCGGATGGGCGATAGCGGCGGTGCCGGAAGAGATAGGGACGGACGGGGGAACGCAATGTGGCCGGAGTCCGTGGTGGTCGGCCAGATAGACCGCTCCGGGGAGAAGGTCAAGACCAAAGCCGGTTCCGCCGCCGCTGCGTCCTCCGGACAAGGCGGCGACGGCGACGATGATGAGCCGGATTTCGTCTACACCCGGAAGACGAGGTGGCTGCTCTCCCGCCTGCGCATGTGGGACAAGCACCGGGAGGCCGAGTGGGAGGCGACGGCGCTGGAGGCGGACGACGAGGTAGCTGCTGCTGCTGCTGCCGAGCCCAAGGTGAGACGGCGCACGGCGGTGTTGTTTTCTCCCCACCTATATTGGTTGATCGGCGGTGGTGATTTGCTCGGGCTCCACGCAGCCGGGTGTGTTCCCCAACGCCGCCGTAGATGCGTGTAGTTTTAGCGGCAGGGCCATCTACGAAAGATTTAGTGTGCAGCCGGGAACGCGCGTGGCTTCGTGGCCGCTACAGCAGTAGTCGGCAGGCAGGCAAACTCCGAACGATTAGTTTCTGCCCGCCCTCCTTCCCTATGCCCCCCCGCATCCCCCCCCCGAGAGCCTGTCCGGCGTGCTCCGTCCCGGTTTTGTAGGGATGCGAGGTCAATGGTCTAACGACTACGGCATGCACGACTATGTATACCCCCCGCCGCTCCCATCCCACGGAAGCTCGTGCACCCCCGACGTGAATTTAATCGGTTGATCAACATTTGGGCTGTCGTTCCCTGCCGCGCACTGGGCCGGCGCCGCTGCCTCCGCCCAGTGCTCGCCTTTTGGCCTTCGTTTTTTTTGTTTTTCACTCTTTCTTGTCCTTGTCCTTGTCCTTGTCCTTGTCCTTGTCCTTGTCCTTGTCCTCGTCTCTTGGTGCATATGCCGACGCTATCGACCACGCCCCCCTCATCCCACAGGTCACGTCGTCGCCCAAGCAGGTCGCAAAGAAGAGCCTGCCTCCGCCATCATCGCCAACGCCGCCGCCGCCGCCTCCTTCCAGAATCTCGGCCAGGAATGAGGCGAAAAAGAAAGCGGCGGTGCAGAATGTCGCCGCCGGGAAGAAGCCACCGGCAGCGGCAGCGCCGGCGCCGGCGGCAGCGCCGAAGCGCCGCAAGGCTCCGGCAGCGGGGAAGAAGGGCGGTGGGGGGGGGGGTGAGAGTGGACCGGTCGCGGAGACACGGGGCCCCCTCTCGTTGTTGTTGTCGGCGGTGGCGGAGGAAAAGGTCGGGGTAAACGTGTCGGCGGCGGAGGGCGGGGCCGGGAAGGAAGCGGGGGAGGGGGGCGAGGGGACCAAGCCGAGCGCTGCCGTCAAGCTGACAAAGGTGCGTCGTGTACGTGATGAGTAGAATACCTTGGTTTGGACCGGCATCGACCGCTCTCTCCGCCTAACCAGGCGCTGGCCGAGGGCGAAAGACGTTTGTTGCGGGGTGTATGTGAGAAAATACGCGGAACACGCTTCCGCCTCTTCAACCGTTATCTGCCGTATGAACGGACCTGTCGACCAAATAAAAGACGTTCCGTTGTATGTACACTACGTAGTAGCTCGACGGATAACCACGCGGAGGAAATTGCTACATCCCTGAGTCCACGGGTATCCGCCAGACAGCAGGGGAATCCGTCCGGAGAAAGTACGTGTGTTTTGTTAGTTATCATCGACCGCGTTGCGTAACCGGCTGATCTATGAAATGATGAAAAGACGTCGGTGCTAGCGGGTAAAATCAAGGTGTTTTGTGTGTATGTCTCCGCGTGTTGTTTTTTTCTTTTGTGGCGATGGTCGGGGGGGAGGGAGGAGTCTAACGTGGGTCAAATGATGTCCAAATTTTATCTACATTGTCGGACGTTTCTTGGCTGAGGACAGACACACAAGAGCCGGCGTTGTCGGTGGCTGATGACCTACTTGCCTCCCCGCCCATGCGGCATTGTTTTTTTATTACGGGGCTTCTTAATAGTAGTTGAAAGATCATCTAACGGGAACTTCAGTTGTGTTGGCTTCACCGTATCTTAGCAGTACTATTCTCTCCCCTGTTTTTCAAAAACAAAAAACAATCATTTGACCAATGATCATTTCTCTTACTTTCCCTTCAGAAAAAAAATCACGAAAAACTTACATATTCCTCAGACAAAAACCGTCTGACCGATTTTTTTTCATCCCCGAAACAATAAAAACAAATACTCCGCCGCCGGAGTACCAAAAACCCCGTCTAACGACCGATTTTCATTTCCAAAACAACAACAACGCGGCGGCGGCGACTGCGGCGGCAGGCGGCGGAGAGGAAGCAGCAGGCGGCCCTGCAGAAGGAAGCCGCCGATGAACGCGCCCTCCCCAAGTGCCCCTTCTGCGGCTCCGAGTTCTACGTCACGGAGACCCAGGACCAGATCGACCGGCACTTGTCCTCCTGCGGCGCCAAGAAGGCGGCGGCAACGTCAGCCTCGGTGGCCGACAGAAGCAGCACGCCCATGGCTCCGTCTCTGTCCAGCTCTCTCGTGATCGGGCTCAAGGGGGAGGACCTGGGCAGCCTGGTGGGGTCGGTGGCGGAGTTCGGTGCGAGGGGTGTGAGGCCGACGGGGACGTTCTGCGACCGGGCCATGCAGGCGCTGTGCAACTCCAAGTGAGAGAGATGGGGGGGGGTTGTTGTCTTCGCATTAAGAACTGTTTTGGGAGAGTCGAAAATCACCAAATCAAGACAAAATAATACTGAAAAGTGAGAGAGGGGGGGGGGGGGCACCGTCTGTCGTATGTAGAGTGGTGGTGGTGTTGTTGTCTTTGCACTATTGTAAGAGCCGTTTAGGGAGAATCGAACATCACCAAATCAAGACACAACAAAATCATACACATAGCGGTGTTGTTGTTATTGTCTTCGCATTGAGAATCGTTTCGGGAAGAATCGAACGTTGCCGAATCAAGACAAAACAAAATTTAACAGAGCCGCCTGATTTATCCTTACACCCCTACTTTTCCTCGCCGCCAGGGGTATACCGGGCAAACCCTTGCTCTCCAACGCGTGCACACGAACGAAATGCGTGTGGGTGATTCTATTTTTATAGTAGGATCACTCCACCGGGGAAAACAGAACATATACTGTACAGCGAACACACCATCAACATCGTCACATCGGGGGGAAATGACAAAGGAAGAGGGTTACCGATACCTTGAGGGAGACGCATGGCTGGTGTTCCTGCCACCTCGATCATATTCAGTCCGGCGACACCTTTTGTATCTCGCTGCACGTTCTGCCATCTCCGGACTACCCCCCTCGACTACAGAGTCGTGTCCTCGAACTGGGTCTTCCGACGCCCCCCCCCCCCCCCGGCCCCCCC